AGCTGTCTAGCCAATGGTCACCCGGTGTTGCAAACAAGATTATTGTGAAGAAAATACACTTCCTGGGTACAAATATATGAATGAACTGATAAAAGATTACCGGATACGCATGTCTGATGAGCGGCAAGAACCGCACAACCGGTCGTGTGCTTCCAGGGAAATTTTATCCAGTCATTGACATACTACTTATTTTCAAATATATGTTTATCTATGGAGTTTAGTATACAATAACATAAATCAGTGGTGATGACGAACTGAGGTCCAAACAAGCAATTTTTGGATCCATGTAATGACGATCTATACTGTTTGATCAAGCGATAAATACTATCGAACATAAGCGCTCAATCAGAGACTAGGTACGAAATTTGGTGAGAGAGAGAGAGAGCAGTAGAATTGAATGGAGAAACAAATTATTGACTAAATAAATCTTTTAAAAGCCACCTGCATTTGCTATCAGTCAAATTTCTACGATTGGTCATTTGTGACGAGAAGTCGAACAGGCGAGGACAAACCAGTACACAGACATTTGAGTACCTACCAGGAACCTCAACGCTCCAGCGAATCTCATAATGTGGACGAAGTACGATGGAAATGTCCACAGAAAACAAGAGGCACATTCATTGACTTAGCCCCCCCCCCCACACACACACACACATTATCTTGTGAGTTACCCAGTGCGCCTAATCCCATGAAGATAGAAATTAATTTATTGAAAACTTGCAATCAGCTTCAACTCAGATTCCAGCTTCCGTATTTCGAAGGCTTACCATCAGCACATGTACAATCAAGACACGGAAAACTTCACACAGACTCAAGGGGTTGTGTCAACCCCAGAGACAGCATAAATCCAGCGAGGGAGGGCAGATTACAAGGTGGTTCCTAACGTGAGAAATATCTGGATCAAAGATATTTAAACATCCGCATTGCTGAGCATACAGCAAACATAAACTACATGGACATGTGTAGCAGATCATCTGCATTGGTATATTGACGTCGGATGTGCTGGTAGAAACAGATGAAGGAAAGCGAAATGGAACAAATTTTTTGATACACATTGTACAGCCTACAGGCATTGTGTACCGATTTTAACACAACACAAGTTTCGGTGTATAAATGAAATAGAGTAGAAGAAAAGTAGCGATTCATCCGGATAGCCGTGAGCAGTGGTGGAAAAAAGATGAACGCTACCTCGTCCGTTACGAATCAAGAGAGGCTAACAAGTGGAACTCACCTGATTACACAGACTCAGAACAAGACAGGCAACTGCGGCACTGTCCAAGCCACCACTGAGACAGAGGAAAAAGCCGGCAGATTTACTCCTGCGCAGTATGTCCCAAAGCCACAATGCCGGACCTTGAGCAATCTCCTCCTCCGGTTTGGACGTAATAGCCACGGCATTGGATGGTACGTGTGGCACAAAGCCCTCTAATTTATGACAAAGGGAAAATTCTACCTGAATGGTAGAATGAGGGGAATCAGAGCTAACGAAGTGATCAGAAAATGCATTTTATGATGGGGTCGGAGTGGCAAATTCAACATTTATCTAATCATAATATTTTTCCCACATCGTATATCTTTAAATAAACACAAGAAAACCTATTGGTGATTGGAATGATATCAAAACAAAACTATGAACTGGTTTTAGCCATTCCTGTCCGGCCGACGAGACAAAGCGGACAAGTCCAATGAAGACACAGAAATATAAACTTCAGCAGCACAAAAATCAACTTCCCATCACTACCAGCACTTGTGTAAGCCCGGGTAAAAATATCTTCCCGAATGTCTCATGAACAATGGGTCCCACGAAGTTAACGCGAGAAAGGAAGCTTTCAAATCAATTTTTCCGCACAACTTTCGGACATCAGCTCTCGTCCCCAAACCCCACTGCTGCTATGTGCAACCAGTGAACAAATGCTTCATCGTTTTAAACTGCATTGTAATCGACCAATCAGATATCTGCACTATGATCGGGGTGTATGGGATATCCGGTAGGTGTAGCACCTCTGACTCGGAGGGCTGTCGGCCCTCTTGGGGCATCCTCCGTTCTTTGGTCTCCACCAGGCGCCCAGCTCTCACCTGTGGCTCCAAGCTGTTTGGATGCAACAGCGGCCACACCCCGGTAAACCGCTCGACAGGCGGGCTCAACCAGGTTGAGGGTAACCGGGAGCACNCGGGAGCACAGCTTCCAGTGAGTCGGTGTCTAACGTACGTGTTGGGAGGACGAAGTCGCCTTCACGACTCAACGGTCAAGGCAATGACTCCGTACTCATCAGGGATGCATGGATCCCTATTCAGTTAGGAATTGTCAATGGCGTATAAGCTCCCCCAGAGGGCCACCGGCAACCATGCGCTATCGTCTTGCTGCCTTACAGTTAGCATTTGGATGTGAAAAGGCTAGAGACGCTACCTCGACCTAAAATCGGGTGACGCTGGAGACGTTTCCTGTACCGAAATCCCGAGAAATTCCATGGATATTCACTTGATATTCATGAAGTCAGTTTATCCTTTCCCAAGAGCTTGCCGCCGTAAAATAAAGTAAGTATTAAGATCACCTTACATATGTTACCGCCTGATGCTATATACTAAAAAAGAAACTTCGTCGCGAACACCGCTTTCCACAAAGACACCCTTGATTACCGTGAGAATAACAAACTCGTCAAATGTCCTTCGGATAGCTGCTCGTTTTTGGTCCCTCAGCAAACCAATATCCCGTAACTTTTACTCTTCGTCTTTTCTCTAAGATAAGAAAACGCTCCTGGCGATCTGGTTCTCGAACCCTCCCAAACAATGAACATGGTGAATGCGATCAACTCCGATCAACTATCTAAACAATAAGAAGGGTCAGTGCTGACCAACTGGGTCGAGCACGTTATATCCGCATTAAAAAAATATGCAGGTAACTGACTGCACGATGTCAATGAGCAAAGATTACCCAACCAACGAATCACTGTGTTCAGCTCATTGAACATATAATAACCTGTCAAAAGTAGACCGATAGAGACAGGAACGGTTTCATCAATAGCACCGTTACAACTAAAATAGAAATCGATACCAAGGGGAATCGGGAAGTTAGAATTCCCAATGAGAGTTGGCGTGCACTGCTTCAAATAAGTAAAATCCTATTCCATGTAAATGAACAAATTAAACTGTTGGGTTCAGACAATGATAACGCAAGTCATGACCGTGTTCCTGATTTTAATGTGTTTATTGTATCATCGGGAATGAACAAATAGTATGCTGAGTGAATTATTTGGGATGCTAAAGCGCTAATTTTATTCATCCCACAGGGCTGTAACCATAGTCATTATTATCGTCATCAATTTTCGTTGCGCACAGAACCACGGATATCGCCAGGATATCTGAATACATTCATTGGAAAGCAGAAAACCACTTGGAAACCGGAATACCCCTTCCCACTCAGAAAGAGCTCCTGCTTCGGTGCACATTTGGCGTCCAGTTCCTGTCCAATGGTCGCATCTACCAACAAACGGACGGAGTCGCAATGGGATCTCCACTGGGACCACTGTTAGCGGACATATTCATGGGCAAACTCGAGAGTACAATTCTACAAGACAAGATACACGAATTCAGTGTGTACCGCCGATATGTGGATGATATATTTTTCACCACAAACCAAGCAACCAACATTGAGTCTGTACTAGAGACTTTCAACGCAAGCCACAACTCAATCAAATTCACTATCAAGAAAGAGTACAACGACCGAATCCCCTTCCTGGATGTTCTACTTATCCGAAACCAAGATGGAACTATCCAGAGAAGAGTGTATAGGAAACCCACATGGACGGGAAAATGTGAACTTCAAGAGCTTTGTGTCTTTGAAACAAAAGAGAAATTTGGTGATGCCTAGCTATGAGAGCTTGGAAAATTTGCTCTCCCGATGCGATCACCGAAGAACTTGAACACATCAAAAACTTTCTTCGAGGGAACGGTTATCCGGATAATTTCATAGATAAGCATCTAACAGAAATACCCGCGCGACCGGTTGTACACAGTCAACAAGAAACCACCCTACCTGCAACTACCATTCAAAGGTGATAACACGGCTGAGTGGCTTACACGACGGATCAATCAAGCATTGCCTCAAACGTTTACACCAGCTGAACTACGCGTGAATTTTACTACGGCCTCGG